GCCGTGAACTAATCTTTCGCTGTGAACTAATCTTTCGCCGTGAACTAATCTTTTGCTGTGAACTAATCTTTCGCTGTGAACGAATCATTCTCCGTGAACTAATCGTTCGCCGTGAACTAATCTTTCGCTGTGAACTAATCTTTCGCCGTGAACTAATCTTTTGCTGTGAACTAATCTTTCGCTGTGAACGAATCATTCTCCGTGAACTAATCGTTCGCCGTGAACTAATCTTTCGCTGTGAACTAATCTTTCGCCGTGAACTAATCTTTTGCTGTGAACTAATCACTATGAACGGATCATTCTCTGCGAACTAATCTTTCGCCTCGTTCTCGCAGATTCGTTTCATTTGTCACGCGAAAGAGCTCGGGTCTTTTTTGCTCTCATTCATCTTCACATTGTTCTGTGTTTTTGTTTCTTAGCTTTTCGCATGGTTTTAATTACTTATGGCATTTTGTGTACTTTGTAGACTTTGTCAGCGGAAGCAAACCATGTTGCCTTCAGTATTTAGTGTCGGAGAACCGCAGCCTTCTTTACAGCGCCCACAATAGGGCTAAAGCGCCACCTGCTGTAAAACGAATGAAATGATTAGTTCAAGATTCGTTCACGACTCGTTCATTTTACTGTTCGAGAGTCAAAGATTCGAATTCATAAAAACAGTCGGTCTTCCCATCACTATCCTCCACGCATGCCGCTATTAGCCGCTACTGTATCCTCTGTCTCGAAGATAAGAACTCATAATTAAAACCACATTTTATTTTATATCACAGGAATCTTTAGATACTATATATATATTGTGTGTGCATGTCTCTATAGCAATTAAAAATGTGTTTTTTCCTTAAACCCAATTGAGCGTCTCTGGAGAGACCTGAAATGGCTGTCCACCAACATTCACCATCCAACCTGACAGAACTGGAGAGGATCTTGTCGTGGTAAGGTTTTACCACCCCGGATTCGTTGATCAATTTCGACACTATCAAGAAGAACTTTAACAAAGTATAAAGAAAAGACAAAAGTCGTTGCTCGAGTTCACCTGTGCACAGGGAGGATCCAGCGGCGAGTCAGAGGATCGACTGCTGAATTCTGCTCTCTCCACAAACTCAGGCTCGTTTTACACACACATCCAGGTGTGGTACATATCAAGCGATACAGACGTCATTTGTTCTACACACACACATACATTCTGTTTGGCAACTACATCTACACCATTGGTTTCTCATCCCATTTCGATCGCACCCAGCTGTTGTTGTCAAATTGTGTTCTACAAGTTTCTGTTTTCCATCACACCAAAGACTCATCTTGTCACAACAAACCTTGGGTGTAACTCAACCTTGCAGCTCCTTTTCTCTACATCTGCATATTTTCAGTTTTAGTTTTAAGCAGCATTTTATGTTCAAGCTGGTTATATGTTTTAGCACACCTTTATAATTCCTTAAACATGAATATATATATCAAGCTGGTTATATGTTTATCCACAATCTGCAAGGAGGATTTGCAGAGGATCCCCAAATCCAGGTGTGAAAAACGTATTGCATCATTGCCAAAAAGACTCATGGCTGTACTAGCTCAAAAGGATGCTTCAACTAAATACTGACCAAACGGTCTGAATATTTATGACCATGGAATATTTCAGTTGTTCTTTTTTAATACATCTGCAAAAATGTCAACAATTCTGTTTTTCTGTCAATATGGGGTGCTGTGTGTACATTAATAAGGAAAACAATGAACTTAAATGATCTTGGCAAATGGCTGCAATATAACAAGGTGAAAAATTTAAGGGGGTCTGAATACTTTCCGTATCCACTGTATATACAGTATATATATACTTTTATTACATCAAAGTAAAACTTAAACTTTATCCCGTATTTATTTCATGACATCCCAATGCAGCGGAATACCTTTATTTAAAAACCCTCATTAGCACTCTGCTGTAGTAATTGAGTGAATCTACTGGAAAATACCCTGATTTATTTATTTTTTATACACAGCATGTTTTCATACATTTGTATTCCTTTTTAATCTTCCTAAATACCACAAAAAATGACTTTTTTTTCTATTTACATTTAAGTGGTATTAAGATTCCATTAATAACAGTAAACAGGGGTTGGATGTCAACATCCTTGTCAACTGTTTTGATCAGTTGTGAGATAGATACGTTATGTGATCTATTTATTTGTTACGAGTCTTTGTTATGAGTTTTTTAAAGTTATCTATTTTTTTTTGTTTTGTTACAAGAGCACGTGCAGTTATTATTATTTCTGCTAAACTTTTTAGGGCCTCACCCCTCTGAAGTCTGCCTCACCTGTATCTGTCGACCAGATCCCTGGCCTGTCTGCCATGGACATCCCTCAAGTTTCGTAGGTCTGCCTTCATTCCCACCAACACTATATCTGGATTATCACAGTATGCGTTTGCCTGGAGCTGACCTGAATGAACACAGAGGCACAGAGACACGCATGAGTTCCTGCAATTCAGTTTTTCAGCTTTAAGAAGTGTGATAAACAAGACTGCTGACATGAGGCAGAGCCAGCCCGTGTGACAGTCACTTACTCATCCAGTTTCTGACGTTGAGGAAACTTTGTTGATTGGTCAAGTCAAACATGAGCAGGAAACCCCTGGCATCTCTGAAGAAAGCTGTGGTGAGGCTTCGAAACCTAAAAACAGTTGGTGAACTTTGTCATTTCATTTTACACTCTGCATGAGGATCGGCTAGGCTGAAGTTTCATTGAAAATAAAAAAGCTAGGCAAGCTAAAATGTCTCTCACTTAGTTTCCACTGGCATTTCTGTCTCTTCTTTGTCATCTTTCATTCAATGACTGCTGTCATCTATATGTTTTTGAACATTTGACGTTGCATAGTCATCAAATATTTACAAATTTAATATAAAGTTACTGTTACTCTTAAGACTGATCACCATGTAAAGCCCATAAAAGTTCATGTACATATTTACGAAATAAGATCTTTGTTTTTTGATGAAAGAAATTACAAAAAAATTACTTTATTTTAGAAAAAAACAGTACAAATATTATAATATATATACAGTATGTGTATATATATATACATACATATATATAATATGGAAGTATCTATGTGCACAGTCCTACAAATATACAGTATATTGCACTTTTTTGTTTATTGGACCACGTGAAAAAAAAAAAAACATTTAATTTGATGATTTGGTTCTGTGTCCAGAGCGAGAGGACAAACTAATATAAAAGAGGTCTAATGGTTCCAGAGGGAAAACACAAGCACATGATTGAAGTGTCAGATTTTTATCCATACAGAGAATTGGCAGTTTGCATTTTAATCTGAATGTTCAGAAGATTGATGGATGACTTGCAGTTAGATATAGTAAAGGCTGTGTCCAGTATATTTGCAAATAAATGAACTTTAAACACAGTGACTTTAAGCTGCAGATATTTTCTATTCCTACTGGCGGAGGTTGTCAAAAGCACAGTCGCCATTTTAAGTATGAAGTAAAAAAGTTCGCTTTTCTTGCCCTGCTGTGTCCCATCCAGCTGTAGGTGGATTCTGAAGTTATTTTCTGTCATCCCATCAGCCCCTGTCCCTGTGTAAATCTGATCCACGTTTTCAAGATCCAGCCCTACATCAGAGGGTGCCAAACCCACTTTAAATGTAGCGCAATGTTTTCAGTAGCAGCTGCTCGTTGACACGAGACCCCGTACTCACCACTCTCTTTTCCCTGAAGTCGATTCCTACTGTGGTTGTGAACCTGCGGTTGAACTTGTGGTCGGTGTACCTGTAGAGGAAGGTTGTCTTTCCAACACTCGAGTCTCCAAGTGCCAGCAGCTTGATCAGATAGTCATAGCCCCAGTCAGTCATAGTGCAGCTGAGAACTCAACCTGTGTTTACCCAGATATCCATAAAAATGTAAATCAAATGATAGAAAATGTGACGAGTGAGTGACATCATAGGTCATACAAATATTTGTGTGTGCGCTGACATTTCTTAATTTTCTTGATGAACTAAATTTGACTTGTTTATGCAGGTGGTCACAGTCGTTCCTGAGTGAAAAATGAAAACTCACGGAATGCAGAGATGATCAGACTTGGAGGAGACTGACTGGTAAATACATACAGTATGTATATTCACAGTAATATAATATATATTTTTACCTAATATTTTTACCTGCAGGTTGCTGGCATTTCACCACGCAAACACACCATCTTTATCTGTTTTTATTTTATTTAAGTGTAAGGGCAATTGTTAATTACGCAGATTAGGTATTAAGATAAATAAGGTAATGAGAATTTGGTTCCAGCAGTGACTTCTAGGGACTTCTGGAGTTCTACAGTGTTTGTAGTAAATGCATTACATTTTCTTATTTTGTTTTTTTGCAAATATTTTGACACGTTGAAAGATTCTTGCTATGTTTTGATCTGGGTCACGGCACTAGTTGAAAGATTATTGGTATAATCAATCTGGTTCATGGCCCAATTGAACGATTTGGCTCTTCTTCGTTTGTGAGCACGACACCAATTGGAGGATTTCTATCCCCGTAGTCAGAGCACCAAAATTGAAGAAATCACCTCATAGGTAGTCCCAGGCAAGGAATGAAACAGCCGGTATATGGTCGATTTGTTTAATAACAAAAAAGCCAAAACAAACAGGCCCAACGAGCAAAATAAAACGACTGGAGAAGTATTCAAGAAACTCTCATACAACAGTTGCCAGTACACAAATTCAAGAACTTCACTGTCGTGAGAGGGCGTCTGGCTTGCTGTTGCTTGAACCTGGCCGATAAGACAGGGTAAAGCGGAACCTGGTGAAGAAGAGAGACCACCTCGCCTGAATTCAGCCTCCTAGCTGACCGTAAGTACTCAAGTAAACAATGAACGGCTGCTTAGCCCCCTCGAGCCAGTGACACCACTCTTCCAGTGCCAGCTTCACAGCAAGCAACTCTCTGTTCCCAATGTCATAGTTCATCTCTGCCTGGGTGAGGAGACGAGAGAAGAAGGAACAAGGGTGAAGTTTCTGGTCCTTAGCACATCTTTGCGACAGGACCGCCCCCACCCCAACATCCGAAGCGTCCACTTCTACAACAAACTGTCTCTCCGGGTCGGGCATCTATAGGATCGGGGCAGACGTGAAGCGAGTCTTGAGAGTCTGAAAGGCAGCCGGTGACCAGACATAAGGCACCTTGGTGGATGTGAGAGCCGAAAGGGGGGCAGCGATAGAGCTATAACCCCGGTAAGACCAGAATCCCGGAAACAGTTGGCAAATCCCAGAAATCTTTGCAACTGTTTCCGGGATTCTGGTCGAGGCCAGCTGGAGTCAGCCGACACCTTGCTGGGATCCATCCTGAATGACGTACCCCAAGAAGGAAGTGGAGGATACGTGAAACTTCTCAGGTTTAACGAATAGTGCATTCTGGAGAAGGCGTTGGAGGACTGTTCTGACATGGTGGACATGCTCACTCTTAGAACGAGAAAAGATTAGAATATCGTCCAGGTAAACAAAGAAACTTGTTGAGCATGTCCCAGAGGACGTCATTGATCAGATTTTGGAAAACAGCTGGAGCATTGGTTAGACCAAAAGGCATGACCAAATATTCATAGTGTCCCATGGGGGTGTTGAAGGCAGTCTTCCACGCATCCCCCTCATGGATACGGACCAAGTAGTAGGCACTCCTAAGATCAAGCTTTGTAAAGATAGACACACTCTCCAACAACTCAAAGGCTGATGACATTAGAGGCAGAGGGTAGCGATTCTTAACAGTGACCTCATTTAAACCCCATAGTCAATGCAGGGGTGCAGGGAGCCATCCTTCGTCTTTATGAAAAAGAATCCTGCCCTAGCAGGAGAAGACGATGGACGGATTAATCCCAATGCCAAAGAATATAATCCTCCATAGCCTCTCTCTTGGGGGCGGAGAAAGAATAGAGCTGACCTCTGGGAGGAATGGCCCTAGGAAGAAGGTCAATCAGACAATCGTAGGAGCGATGCGGAGGGAGTGAAGAGGCTTTGGCTTTGTTTAAAACCTCCTTAAGGTCATGGTACTCCCTGGGGACTTTGGCGAGGTCTGATGCAGAAACAGGCTGAGACGAAAGCAGAGGACATCCTGCCCCTTGAGGCAAAGCTGGTGACAAGATTGCGACCACTATAAAACAGTTCCTGTGGCCCAATCAAGATGGGGATTGTGCTTGGTTAATCATGGGAGTCCCAGAATGATTGGGTGAAGGCAGAATGTGGAAATGAATACTCTCAGTGGTTGCCTACTATCAAGAGCCCAACAGGCCCGGTCGAGTAGGTGACGGTTCCTAAAATGTGCCCGTCCAATGTCTGAGCTGGAGTTGGATTGGGCGAAGGGTCACGCCCTAGTCCTAACTGTCTTGCCAGTTGGATGTCCATTATGTTGGCATCGGAACCTGAGTCTATTAACACTTTGACAGGATGGGCTCCCCCGCAACCAGCAGCTGGGCAGACAGATATGGACGTGGAAGGGAGGAGGACTTTGTTGGGCTAACCAGAATTCCTCCCTCTACTGGTGAGCCTGCTCTTTTACTGGGCATTTGGATAAGAAGTGTCCGGGTTGGCCACAGTACAAACATAAACTCCTCTTGAGACGTCGACTCCGCTCCCCGGGAGAGAGGCGGGTCCGACCCACCTGCATGGGCTCAGGGCTCCTCCCACGGCCCTGGCGCACTGGCTCCAAATCAGCGGACGACTCTGCAGAAAGACACCACTCCTGGCGCCTTTCCTGAATGCGTCTATCAATGCAGCAGGTAAGTTCTATGATGGTGTCCAAAGTCGTGGGGGGATCATGTGAAACCAACTCGTCCTTGATGCTTGAGTTCAGACCCCGGAGAAAAGCGTCGCACAGAGCAGGTTCATTCCACTCACTCTGCCTCGCCTTAATGCGGAAGTCTATAGCATAATCCGTCCATAAGCCTGTCCCTTGACAAACCCCCAGCAAGCCCCCAGCTACATCAGGTCCCAGTCTGGGGGGCTCAAAAACCTTACGTAGCTCCCGGGAAAGTAAAGGAAAGTTCCCCACAACCAAGCCTTCCCTGTAAGGTGGTTAATGGTGAACGCCACCTTAGCTGCCTCAGTTGCAAAAGTGTGAGGCTGCAGGGCGAACAGGATGCTGCAGTTGGTGAGGAACGGGCCACACCCCTCAGGATCTTCTGCGTAGCACTCCAGAAAGCCCACCTTGGACTCCCAACCCAGACCCTGGAGAGGGAAACTGGAAAGTTTACTCAGGGTTCAGCACGTATAAACACACGTGTCTTGGCAGTGCAAAAGTCCTTCAACAAAAGGTGTCTCCACTTGAAATAAAGGAAGTCTTTTAAATAAACGTGGAGAATAAATACACGTGTCTGGGTAGCGAAGGGTCTTTCAACAAAAGGTGTCTCCACTTGAAATAAAAGGAGGTCTCATGAATAAGCGTGGAGTATTGATAATGAACAGAGATCCCGTGGCTGAAGTAGCTACTTCCGTGTGTTAGGGAATCCCATGAGAGTGACGTCACCACGGCGGATTTCCTCTGGGCTGCGGAGCAGCGGAACCAAAGCAGGAGCAGAGAGGCAGAGCAGAAAACAGCAGAAACTCTCCTCAACAATACAGGACGACTCTCGTCCACAAAGCAGGTGAGAACAGGTGTGGATCGTCACAACAGGAAAGGCTTGGGCAGCAGAAAATCTCCACAACTGGAAACTGAATGAGGACGTGCAGCCCTCGCGAACAGACGAGACGATCTGACAGCGAGGAGTGAAGACTTCAGGTTTGAGTCCACCATCTGCCAAGTTGCCACTGAGGTGCCCTGAGCATGGCACCGTCCCTACACACTGCTCCCTGGGCCTGCTCCATTGTTCACTTTGTTGATGGGTTAAAAGCAGAGGTTACATTTTGTTGTGTGCAGTAGTGTGCTGTGTCAAAATGACAAGCAGTTCACTTTCCTTTCCTTCTCATCTCTTCACCTGTTTTTGTGGCGAGCACATGGGTGTTTTTCTGGGCGATGTGCTGTGTGTCAGGAAAGCTGTTATGGAGCCCTTTCCTGTGACGGCAACTCCTCTGGCCTGCAGGTTACTGAAACAGACATTATTGAGGGTGAGGTAAAAGGGGGAGTTGCCGTCCACCATTTTTTGGAAGAGCTTCATGGCCAATGGGACCAGGAGGACCACAGCGTCTTTACAGCCACCTGTGAAGGTATTATTCAAAAGGTAACTCTTTGTACTCTGTGTATTATCAAAACTGTCTTCCAAAAAGTTAAAATTAAACAAACAACCAAAAACATTAGAAAAGCAACTTGTATACGACCAATATAGTTAAATAAGTTCCTAAACTAATGATTTCAGCTTTGGAAAATGTACTATTGATATTTTGGTGTCTCAGCCAGTGAACAAGCTTACCAGAGGTGATCTTCTGTCCAATGTGGTAAGGGACTGGACACTGGGGGCTTTCACGGCTGAGCCACTTGTTAGTCGCAGAATACCTGCAGATGCTCAGCGTGAAGGTTTGAGGCTGTCGGCCATCCTTGTGCATCCTGGTATTAAAAATGGTTGCAAAACCATCAAATAATAAGATTGTAAATGGCAACATTATCTCTGACCTTTCTACCAGACTGCTCAAAAGTTGCTGAACTTTTTCCAAAACATCTTTGGTTGATGAGATTTTTTTGAAAGAGTCCTCACACCTGTGACTGAATCTACAGAACGGGCAACAATGTTTTTATTACCAGGCATTACTAGAACCATACTGTATATTGTTGTGTTATGTCTTCAGATTCTTTCTGTCATGGACCTCGGTTGTGGCCCACGACACCAAGCCAATATGTTCACGTGTTTTCCAGGAAGAAAATCCAGTCAGCCGGAATGTTGTCAAGTAATCAAGGATTTATAAAAAAGAAGCAAGATATTTACCCGTTATAAACGATACAGTTGATTGGTACACTTCGCTGCGCGCAGGAGCTCCTGTTCCCAACGGCCACTGGGTGATCTCCCCCTTCTTCCCCATTCTTTGTTACTTAAACTTTTGCCCCACCGAGTTTTGGTGGGTCTCAACCAATGACTAGCATGTTTATACTCTGTTACTGGTGTTAGATTTCAGTGGTTTTCACATTTGGTTGGGTCTGCAGCAGGAAGCTGCTAAGACACCAAAAGGCTTTCCCAAGCACACACAGTCACATAGCCCCACACATTCAAAGAGAATTTCCTCCAAATTCTCTTCACACCAACTTTCCAAATAACTCTAAAACACCTCTACTCCCTGGAAACAATGGGAAACCTTACAATCCACACTCACAGGGAACCCCAGATCCATCCATTCCTTTTGATCTCAGCAACAAAAGGTCCATAAACATGTTCTCCAACACTGCTGAATCATGGAACAGCAGCGCCACATAGTGGCAACTGCAGGCATAACCATGATACAAGAACAATAATATGATTGGCCACAAAAGGCCTAGCCTCGCTCTTCCATTGGCCTACAAGATTTAAACATACACCAGGGAAGTCGAAAACCACTCCCCCCACACAGGTATATAAGCGTAAACAACTAATGATACTTTGGAAGTTATTCTTGAGAGGATTTGCGTATTAACAACTGTGTACGAGATTTCCTTGAATACTTCTCCAGTTGTTTCATTTTGCTTTATTGTTGGACCTGTTATGTTTGACGTTTTTGTTATTAAAACGAATCGACTATCTACCGGCTGTTTCCATTCCTTGCCTGAAGACACCTCGCACAGCAAGAATCTTTCAACTGGTGCTGTGACCCGGATCAAAATATAGCAAGAATCTTTCACTATGCAGAGCTCACAAGGCACAGCAAGTTTCACCAACCGACTGGTCTCGGCAGAATGGGTCACAGTCAGTTTCATAAAATGGCATGAATACAAAATGGCGTCAGTGCACAAAATGGCACACCAGTGGGTGTTACAGGCGAGGTATCAATGCCCATGACCAGATTCTTCAAACGTTCAGCAGAGTAAGCTCCAATTTCTTTCACCAAGTGATTTAACGGCAAGAGCTGTAGGTCTTTGATGCTGACCAGTCTTAGGGCCTAAAGTCTTTTGCTTGTTTGATGACCCACTCCTAAGATGACAAGGTCACAAGATGACCATCAGGGAGATTGACCAAAATAACATAACACAGTTTAAAAAATTATATGATTTCATCAGCTAAAGACAAAAGGTATAAATATTTTAGGCTCAAATATTATTCCAAAAATATCTGAAAGTACCCGGTAATTTACGGAGACTGCTTAGGCAACTCATGATGTCCCTGATATTTTCTGGTAGCAGTGTAGTTTGCTGATTGGGTTTAAAAAGTACCAGACACGTTTGGCCAGAAGCTTGTTTGTGGCGATGCCACCACAGCCAGTCAGACCTAGTCGGCTGTAATCACTGGCCTTCACATCTGCACCTGGACCAAACAAAAATACATTTTCCTTATGGCAATGAGTCTTCTTCTTTCTTCTTTCTTCTTTCGGCTTTGTCCCTTTTTTCTTTCAGGGGTTGCCACAGCAAATCATTGATTTCCATCTCTCCCTGTTCTCTGCATCTTCTACTCTGACTCCAACTATCTGCATGTCCTCCTGGTAGCTCCATCTCTAACATTCTTCTACCAATGTATCCACTGTCCCTCCTCTGCACATGTCCAAACCATCTCAATCTGGCTTCTCTAGCCTTTTCTCCAAACCTTCCTGTCTGTGTTGTCCCTCTAATGACCTCATTCCTGATCCTGTCCAT